TCTGAGAATTAATTACATAAGATCACTCAAGCAATCTCATCCTTGAAGAGAAGTACCAACATCACTGGCTACTCTACCACTTCTTATCCATGCAGCAAACTCTCAACTTCAGCTCCTCCATCACTGTTGCCCCTCATTGCAGCTGATTTTCACCTTGGGCACTGCTGCCAGAAGGCACCAATCAGCAACACAGCAACAAAAACAATGAGCTTGAAGCCCTCTGAAGTTTCCAGCAGACTAAGGAATTGTGGACTGGAGTGATATTTTAGTTCACATCCACAAGTGCAACTCTAATTCATACACATCATCACCAAGATGTGGAGGACAAGCAGAAAAAAAGGCAAGACATCCACATGTAAGTCTTAAATAGACTGCTTTATTTTATATGAAAGTAAACCTACTAGCTGGTTTGCTTTTTTTCATTGATAGCTTTCTGTATGTAACGTTTTCCCATTGCATCTTTGCCCCTTTTATGCTGTTCCAACACAGATCAAGAGTTCCAGCTTTGCACAACCACTCCATGGTAGATTATAACCTGTTACACTCCCAGTCTCCTTTCTTGTACAGTACGCACAGTCACAGATGATAAATCATTTCCATTGGGGCCCAAAGGAATTTTTGTTCAGCTGTTTCTATAAATGGGTGCAACTCCTAGATCAGAAATCATTTGTCTAGCAATGTTTAATTATATTGATTACCACACCTTTGAAAAGACAGCATCAGAACACCAATGTAACATATTACTTAAGTCATGAGAAGAGAGTAACAAAGGCTTGGTTTCTCTCTTGAGCAAAAAATATCCAGCACTCCCATCCACAGGGCAAGGGTCACAGAGAAATGCAGGGGGCTCTTCCAGAAAGATTCTCTGACTGTTCAAAATGGGCACTTCAGCTTCTCCAGGGCTGCACCCCCTGTGCTGTGCTCCTCACTGGCCCATGGCACTGCCAGGACAGGCTGATGTGCCACCTCCCTGAACTGGGAACAGCTGGAATGAAGCACGGCAAGCCAGAGGGATGAGGACATGTACACTGTGTACAGGTGACACTCAGCTCAGAGGAGGCCCAAGGAGGTTATTGCACCAACCCCAGCTTTAAGAGAAGCCATGAGACATCCTAAATTACACTTTCAAAACCTGCTGTCCCCAACAGCTTTTGGAGGATTATGGGAGCACAGCATTGGGTTAAGCTCATGTTTGTGATCTCTCGTCTCATTTTGTGCCTACAGCCAAATCAAATGAGTATCCAGGCCAAAAGGTTTTAAATTAATCCCTCCAAATAAAAAAAAGAAAAAAATCCACTAGATCCACTGGAACATTTTATCTGGGCCTGTAAGACAACACATGGTGATACGAAGTACCAGAGGGTGCTCTGGAGCTCTTCAGGTAAAATATTTTATCAGTTTATCTGCCACATCAAAATAGCAAATGAGCTTGTATGAGGTCACTATCAACACTAAGATGTTGTGCTTATTTCTCATGTTTTTATCTAGTTATTTTGGCAGTTTTCTTCCACTTTTTTAGAAGACTGCAGTGTATTTTGTCCACAGTAATACTTTTTAGAAACTTAGGGAGAAAAGGTGCAAAGCATTTTGTACTTTACCGGATAAAATTTCCAAAATTGAATAAAATGGCAAATTATTTCCTACAGCTATTAGGGAACTATTAAGAACAGAAATATGAGACAAGGATTAAGAAAAGGGATACATCTGTTCTGAAAAAAAAAGTCTTTGAGGAGAATTACTAGAAATAAGAGAAACTGAAAAAAACCCAGTGAACTTGTATGGAAAAACAGCAGAAGGCATATTGCCAACAGATGGTGAAGAAGTCACACCAAAAAGGAAAACAAAGTCGAAAGCATACTCAATTTTGAGGACTTAAGAACATGCAGCTCCATTTTTAACCAGGGAATCTGTGATTAGGAAGGAGTTAGCTTTGGTTTTGGTTTTTTTCCTTAACACTTAGGAAAGCAGTTGTAATTTCTGGGTTCTAAAATGGAGGCATTCAAAATTAGCATCTGTCTATGAAAATGTTGGTCCACTCTTGAAATCACTTCCTTCCTCCCCACTATGAAAACACACTTTTTTTTTTTTGTATGTTTTCATTTTTTCTCATGTTAGTGGTTAAGCTCAATGCACTGGAAAATATCTGATGCTTTAAGAGGCCACTTTCTTATTAATTCAGATATCTGTTTAAAAAGATGCTTCCTCTCTGAGGCCTTTCTGCAGCAGCTGGTAACAGGTACTGCCACAGGAACCAAGAGACAGGTATTTGCAGAGCCTCTCACATTATTCTACGTGTCTGTACTGTCAATCCAAGTCTCAACCTCACTTTTGGAAGTAGGAATTTTACACAGCCAGTTTAATAGCACTCACTGATCAAAGAAATTCCACATGCTATACTGCAATTTTTACTGGGGGTACATTTTGCAGTTGGAACTCAATAGGTAAATAAATACTAAGTCATAACAGGAGTCTCACATGAACATCCCTGGCACAATCCTGTCAGAACACAAAAAAATACTTTAAATGTCAAAATAATACAGAAGTCATCTTCTACAACTGTGTATCTTCCCCCAGCAAACCTCCTTCCCTTAGTTTGCATACCTTGCAAGAGCTACTCAGGAAGTTGACATACTGTTGCTGCAAACCCAACAGCAACAGACACCAGATTTTACTTTCTTCTAAAATATGCAGCTGATATTTCAGCAGCTGGCTTTAAAACTCTTCACCTTCCAGTTTCTCAAGGCTAGTTGCCACAAGTAAGTTTTCCAACTTGCTTTATCCCCTTTCCTGCTTTCATTTCTAATGTCTACTCATTATACACTAACTCTGGCTAAGATACTGAAATAAGTCATTACCAGGAACAAGGCCACAACTTTCCAACACTGACTCTGAGCTGCCACTTGAAAGTTAAAATGGGCGACTTATTTCTAGCACAGAAGTAATACTGGAGCATTAGCAATTGTTCCTACTTAAGAGTTTTGTGTATCTTGTAAATATTAACTAATTTAAAATTATAAATCCCCTCAACCTCTAAAGCGCACAGATATTGCATAATATTGTAGCTAAGACCTATTTTTTTTTTTTTAAAGTCACAATCCATCATGGCTCAAAACCTGTGGAAAGAGTAGCTTTGATTTTGACTATGAGACACTAAAGGCTACCCTAAGGTGAAGCTTTGGGAACTGGCAGGATCAGTGGAGGAGTTTTCAGGACAGACAGTGATGTTCAACACAGCCAAGTGCCTGTGGGCACATCACCTGATGCTGCACAGCTTCTTCAGCTGAGGGAAGGTTTGCTATGAATACACTTCCTCGATAATAGACACCTGTGGGTTCATTTATTTTACTGTCTGTCGTGTTCTCAGTCAACCATCCACACTTACAGACAAGTTCCTCATCAAGAAAAAAAAAAATCTTAAAAACCTCTGACGACAGAGTCCTTCTCTACTTCAACATCCACACTAGAAGGCCTGTATAAGGCATTTACGTGGTTGTTGACTCTTGCAAGAGCTAAAAGGTTGCTTTCAAAGGGAAGAACAAGAAAACAAAAACCTTCACAAGTCTTCCTATAATCACAGATATAAATGCAATCAACAGCACAAACATTCAAACTTGTTATGCTGATTTGACAAAAATACAACACACTTCTAAACCTCATACAACACCTTCTAAACCATTCAGGCTTAATTTAGAACAACACAAAAAACTTGATCCGCCACCAAGCACTTTCTATTTACTTCAGCAGACGTAGTTCAGAAATCAGAACAGAAAAAATCCTCACGCAATTTATTGTGACATTCAGCTTTTGCACCCAAACAAAACAATCAGGCACACACTGCCAAGAAACATCAGTGCAGCTTCAGGGCACCAGCAAGGGCTGCTACGTGCAGGGCTTCTCTTCAACACTTACGGGGCTCCTATCAGGGTGGAATTCTTGAACTCGCTAAAGCATTTATAGATTACATGCCTGTCCGGTTAAATACTTCCTGCAATTTTGTTAATTATACATCAAGCTCTGCAATTAGGGAATGACTCCCATCCTAGAAAACATCAGCTCTCAAGTTACACCTACCCCCCAGAATGTGTGTTTCTGTAGATGCCTCTGGTATGTATGCTATTATCCCAGACAATAAAATACTTTCAAAACTCGAATACAATGTGCAGTTCTATCGCTGGATGGTTTTCCTTTTCATTTTTCAGTGCTGTAGACCGTTTGTTTAGGTCAGTACGCATTTCTGTAGGTGGGGGAGGAGATGTCCGGGAGCAGACAAGTGCAACCCCAAGTTCAGGTTCCCTTTTCGTGTCCATCCCTTCCAGAGGCGGCCAAGCGCAGGCTTCGACACCAATGCCATCCTCCCTCCACACCGGCGTTACCCTCCGCTGACAGCAAAGCCATCAAAGCACGCTCGGCCTTTTCCTTCTTTCCCCCTTGATTCATCATCGAGATGTAAATTAAGAGATTCTCCCAGAGAAAAAAAAAAAAAAAAAAAAAAAAAAAAAAAAAAAAAAAAAAAAAAAAAAAAAAAAAAAAAAAAAACCCCACCGAACAATGGGAAACACTTCCCCGCCGGTGCCCCACAGGACGGAGGGAAACAGGATCCGCTGCGCTGGGGGAGTTACTCAGTGGGGATCAGATGCTGCTAAAAATACGGGAGCGGAGCGAGCGGGCCCGGGCTAAGCCCGGGCAGGGCCCGCGGTCCCCGTCCCGGAGCGTCCCCGCGCCAGACGGTGCGGGGGACATCACACAGACGGTGATGTCACCGCCGGCGGCAACAAAGGACGCGGCACCGGCCGGGCGGCCCCTGCCCTCCGCCTCCCGCCCGCCCGGAGCGCCGGCACCGGCCGAGACAAAGCGGCTTCCCCCGCGCTACGTGCGGGCGGAAAGGGAGAGGTTCGGGCCGCCCAGCGCCCGAGCGGCGGCGGCGGCCCCCGGGGCGGCGCGGACCGGCCCCGGGCGAGCGGCGCCGCGACCCCCGGCCCCGCTGCCGCCCCCTCCCCTACCTGATATGGCGGCGGCGGCTCCTGATCCGGCTCAGCCCCGTCTCCGTAGCTAGCTCTGTCCGACTGGGACTCGTGCAGCAGCGAGATGTCATCCGAGGTGGGGGACTTGAGGCAGTTCCCCATCTTCCCGGGGGGAGCGCGGCCCCTCCTTCGCCTCCTCCCGCTCCGGATCCGCGCCCTCAGCCTCCCCGCCGCAGCGCGCAGCCCGCAGCCGCCCCGCCGGGGAGGCTCATGCCAGCCCCGGCCCTAAGCGGCTTAGCAGCTGCAGCCCGGCCGCCTCCCGCTCCGCTCCGCGGCCGCCCCGACCCCCGAGCCGGGGGGGGCGGCAGGACGGGCCTCCCACCCCCCGTGGGGCAGCGGGCTCCGGTGGGTCCGCCCGCGGCTGCCCGGCGCGGTTCTGCTTCCCGGTCACCGGCTCCCTGCGCACTGGGCTTTGTCGCACGGGCCGCCCTGGCTCCTCCTCTCACCCCTCCCCGCCCGGCCCCGGGAGCAGCCGCGGGGCCTCGCTGGGCTGCGCACCCCCCGGCCCCGCCGCGGGGACAGCCCTGCCCGCCCCCGGCGGGACGAGGCGGGACGGGACGGGCTGGGGAACCCAGCCGCCTGCCGGGCTCCCCCGGCCCCAAGATGGTGGGAGCCGCTTGGCCCCGCCCCCGAGCGCGGTGTTTGTTTGTGTTCCGGGCATGGCGGGGCCCGGCGCGGCGGGACGGGAGCGCAGCGGCGACCCCCGCGCCACCCGGCCCGCCCCGGCTGAGGCGCTTTGTGCGAGGCCCGGGGCCTGCCCAAGGCTCCCCAGGCAGGGAAGAGTTCCCCGTGCTGGTCGCTGGCGTGACCCCAGGGGCAGGGTCAGTCTAGGCACAGGGCAGTGAGCCCCAGAGTGGAGCAAAATCAGCACTTGGCTTTTGCGTTTCTAAAGGGTTTTTTATGCGATGAGCAAGTACTCTAATGAGCCATATATTTATCTTCTCTTTTTTGCCTTCATAAAAATATATCCATACTTGGATATAAGTCTAGGTAAGTACTGATAAATGCAAATCTGAGGATACTGAATGCCCCCGTGTCACTGTGTTAGTGTGCCAGCACTAACCCACACAGTGTGGGATATGTGATGGTCCTGTTAGTGTTCTTTGGTTCCTCAAAATGCATCCTTGGCCTTCAGAGTCACATAATGGAAAATACTTTTAAATCCAATTTTTAAAGTGAAGTATTTTTTAAGGTGAAGCAAATACGGTGCAGATGAGAGCAGCTGCGAATTCCAGTCTGTAAAGCAGTACAGCGTGGCTGCAGTACCAAGTTGTCTGCTGATACAGCTCGGGTCTGCTTTGCAACTTCTTGGGTCAGAATATCTCCAGACATGCCATTCACAGTTATGTATTTGCCTCCACAACCTCTGCTGGTGGACCTCAGTCTGGGATCAGAGTTTTTGCTGATTATCCTTATGAGTTCATTCTTGTAGATTTCATTTTATTACTGTTTAGGGTAGTTTGTTTTGCTGCTTATCAAAGGGTAAGTTAAACAACCCTGGTGTAAAGCCTGTGATTGCTGCCATTTATGGTGTTCTAACACAGCTTCAGGCTTTTCAAGGAAACAGAAACTGAAAATCGGGCAGGATTTTGAGTGTTGCTCAAGATAGAGAGGCTTTGCAGTGGTGTATTGTAAATAATGACTGTGGTACATGGCTTGCTCATTTGGGTGTTTATCCTATGAGTCTGTTGGCTTGGTTTAATAGAATTAGGCAAGCAATTGTTGGAGGGGATCTAGTGAACCACTGCCTCACCCAGTCATGATTTTCAAGGTTAAGGCAATGTCAGAGCTGTCTGCTGTGAGAACCTGGTGATGAAACTCCAGCATTGTCACTGGTATTTTGAGTTGTGCACTGGCACTATTGGGAACAAGATGATGGGCAGCTAGAAGGACTGAGTTATTCAGCTGTTATCTTGTGTTTTGTTTTCTCTCTGAGGCTCAGGCCTGTGTCGTTGATGTAGTTCAGTGAAAACCACAGGTCACACTGTGCCATGGTGTGAGGCTGTGATCACAGTTTGATCCTCCACAGTGAGGAGGTCCTATGGAAACCTGTGGTGCCTCTCTGCTGGCTGCCGTGCCAAAATAGCCTTTCTTTGGAAACCAGAGTGCAAACTGGTCTCATCCTGATATACAGTCAGGATGTAGGTGGGATTTCCCCTGCATCTCATGGTAGAGATGTTGCATTTATTTACCTTGTGGCCGATCTCCAGAAGGAATAGCTGCTAAGCCCAGTTAAAACTTTCCCCTTAGTAGGTACAGGATGCTCCAAATCTGGGCATGTTTTAAAAAATGCAGACTTGTCAAGTGCCAGAAGAGACCTGCTTTTCACGGTGGATTCACAGAGACCAAAGAGGAAGCAGAGAGGTTCATGTTTGGCCTTGCAACAAGACAGACTGCACCTGTGAGAGCTCTGAAGGGGGAAGAGCTACTACCAGTCATGTCTGGACTCTTTCAAGTTGGGGTGGTTGAAGGCACTGCTTTTCCTGGCCATTCACTCCTGTTTTGCCAGATAGGTCATTAATAGTGGCTTTGAACCATCAGCTCAAAAGTTGTACAAAGGTCTGAGGAGATGGAAAATGGAAACATTTTAGTATTCACAAATGTCTTTTAATATCCCTGAATATGTTGAGATGTAGCTGTGAGCCTACTCCTTTTGCTACCACACTTTTTGCAGGTTGGGGACAAGGAAGTAGAGGGATGGATCCTCAGAAGATGTGATTTATGAGTGTGGTTTCTTTGCTTTAGCAGAACCATGGTGTAGTTTAACTGATTACTTCGGTTCTCTCTGGTTTTTACTTCCTCTACTAATTTTGGGGAACACGTAATAGTCAGAATGGATTTTCTAGAGCCTTAGAATGCTCCTGTAGAGGAAGAAAGATTCATGTCGTGGTTTAGGGCTGCACAAATACTACAGACAGAAAAGATCATGCAAATACAAAAATTTGTGTCAGACTAATATCAATACAGAACTGGCAAGGCAAGTCAATGAAACTTTTCCTCACATCTAGACATTTAAACAGTTGGCTGTAATCTGTTTTCAGAATGGTAATGGGGAAGTTCTGAAGTTTGCCAGCATACAGAATTAATGTTCTGGTACACCTCAATACAACAATGTCACACATGGGTCTGTCCTCACCACCTTGTGGCAGCTAGCATCTTCTGAGTGAAATCTCTCTTTCAAAACAGAATGGAAATTCAAGAAAAAGAGTTTTAAACTATGCAGACAAAGTTTATGTTTTATTTTACAGGCTTTTGATATGAGAGGAGGCAAATGACATATTGACATATTCTTAAGGCTCATATGAGGTAGCCGGAGGTGATGAACTGTTCTACTGAAAAATCCATTTCCTTTTGAGTTCAAAATCTAAAATCCTCTGGAGACATAAAAAGTCCTTCTTGTTAGGAGTTCCTCTACAATATTGGTGTCATAAATTGCCTAATTTTTAGATGAAAGATCTTTTGATAACACCATTTTACGTGATCCATGTTCATGTTATTGTTGGATAACATTTTGGATATGTTTAATATGTCATGCTTAACAAAAGTTTTCGAAAGACCTTTTCTGTCCTCAGCATGGAAAAGTTTTTTCACTTCCTTTTCTTCCATCAAGCTTATTTTCCCAACACTTATCATCTCTCATTAGGTCTTATCTTTCTTCTGGGTAGGATTGTTTTCCCAATTCATACACAGAAGCCCAGTTGATTTCTGAGTGCAATCTTTCCATGCCATGCTACCCAGAGGTTCAGAGATAACTCTGTTTGCTTGGGTAATGTTGGTGAATAGAACACAATGCAATTTTAAAACCTTTTTCTGGAAGGAAAAAAAAAAAAAAAAGACTTTGTATACCTCTGGAGAATGGAAGTAAATTACATTCTTCCATTATGTATGTGAATCTGATTATGAGGATGGTGGAATTAATTTATGTGGTTATAAAGAACATGGCATCTTCTAAAATGCACATGATTATTTTTAGTTTTGTTGATTTTAGCTGAACCATAGACATTTCTCAGTGTATGTTACAAATGCATATTGCTTTCTGAGACAGAGTGAATGCAGCACTAGAAAGCAATTATGGAACTAATATATTTCCCTGAAATGTACTTTGTGATGCAGGATTTTACTCATGTTTCTAAAAATTACTTAAACTTCTGTCTAAATTATACTGGTATCACAAATATGCCACTTAAAGCAATTTATCCCAAATATACCATCTTGGTAAGAAGAAGTATTCCATGACTGGCAAGAATAACTTGCTTTCCTTAATAACGGTTTTCCCCAGGTCCAAAATGTTTTTTCAGTGACGAGTGTAATGTATGCCTATCCTGTGCCCTGGGGCACCTGCCCTGTTCTCTGAGCCACAGAGAACAGAAAGAACATGTATTTTGGCACTGAAACACCCAAGAAACAAAGCAGACAGTCATCATACAAAAGTAACCTCTTCAAACAAACCCTCTGTCGCCCAGCTTCCTGGGGAATTTTGTGTAGGAATAATTTTTTTTCCCCTTGTACCACATGTTGCCACAGTCTCAACTTCAAGAATGATCAGAGACCTACAAAACATGATCTGAGGGGAAAAATTGAAAGAATTGGGGTTGTTTAGTCTGAAGAAAAGGTAGGTGTTGGGAAAAATGGTAATGATCTTTCAAAAATAGAAAATGTTTCTCTGCAGAGAGAAGGAATCAGTTTTTCTTTATGTTCAGTGGGTCTAGGGCAAGAGGTGATGGAGTTGGAGATTTAAAGTAGATATTAGGAAATTATTTCAACCTGAAAATGTAGTTTGGCAGTGAAAATTATTATCTGGGCATCTCATCTGCTGAAGGCTTTGAAAGGCAGATTAGGTCACACGTCTCAGGAATGGTTTTAGTTGCAGTAGATTATATGGTAATAACCCCAAAAGGTTCCTGGCTGGTTGATGATGTTTTGTTTCTCTCAGGTGATTTACAGCAGGTGCTTTACTGCTGTGTTATTTTGATTCTCACTCTTCTTTGTATGCTCAGAAAATGCCAAGAAGAAAAAATGTCAGTAGGTAAAAAATTGGGTAAGTAGGATGGGTGGGGACGTTCCCAGTAGCAGAATGCTACGAAATCACAGTTCCTGCAGGAAAGCTGGTGTGCTTGAGCAGAGTGTGACATGCTGACATGTCCTCCTGACAGGCTTTGGGACACAAGTTTTGGGCTGTCTTTCAACAAGTGGTTCTTAGTCAATACACAGAAATCTATGTTTTAAATTTTAGTTGGAGCTTCACTATTTGCTGTATTTGAGTATTTCCTGAATTTGCAAGGAGTGAACTCTATCCACAGTTCACCTGAAGCCAATTTGTTAGACTTCTTGTTCCTCCAGTTCTCTGCAACAGTAAGGTAGTATCCAAAGTGCATGTAATTCTTTGAAACAGTTGAAGAATTAATTGTTCTAGTTAAATATGCATTCTGCTGCAAAATTTAAAACACCTCTTGTTCACCTTCTCCATACTCTTTCTGT